ATATATTCCCTCCTTCAGTGGATTGTCTTTTCATTTTGATGGTGGTTTCCTTTGCTGTGCACAAACTTTTTAGTTTGATGTATTCCCATTTGTTTATTTTTTTTCTTCTGTTTACCTTGCCTGAGGAGATTTATTTATCAGAAAAAAAATATGGCTATGAGAAATGCCCAAGATTTTACTGCCTTTGTTTTCTTCTAAGATTTTTATGGTTTTGAGTCTAACATTTAAGTCTTTAATCCATTTTGAATTTATTCTTGTGTGCAGTTGTAAGGAGGTGGTCCAGTTTCATTTTTTTATGTGTACCTGTTCTAACACCATTTATTGAACAGACTATCTTTATTGCATTTTATGTTATTGTCTTCTTTGTTAAATATTAATTGGCCATAAAGGTGTAGGTTTATTTCTGGGCTCTCTGTTCTGTTCCATTGATCTATATGTCTATTTTTATGCCAGTACCAGGCTGTTTCGAGTACAGTGGCTTTGTAGTATAACTTGATATCAAGTAGTATGATTCCTCCAACTTTGTTATTATTTCTCAAGATTTCTTTGGCTATTTAGGGTCTTTTTTTGGTTCCATATAAATTTTTGTGACATCTGTTATTGTTCTGTGGACTATGCCATTGGTATCTTGATAGGAATTGCATTGAATCTATAGATTGCTTTGGGTAGTATGGACATTTTAATGATGTTAATTCTTCCTATCCATGAACATGGTATATGCTTTCACTTATTTGTATCTTCTTCAATTCCTTTCTTCAGTGTCTTAGAATTTTTCAAGTACAGAACTTTTACATCTTGGTTAAATTTATTACAAGGCATTTTTTATGCAATTGTGAATGAATTATTTTCTTAGTTCACCTTTCTGATAGTTCATTATTGGTGTATAGACGTGCTATTTCTGGGTATTTTGTATCCTGGTATTTGACTAAATTCATTTATCAGTTCTAGTAGTTCCTTGGTGAAATCTTTAGGGTTCTCTATATACAGTATCATGTCATCTACAAATAATGACAGTTTTACTTCTTTCTCTTCAATTTGGATGCCTTTTATTTTTTCTTCCTGTCTGATTGCTGTGGGTAGGACTTCCAGTATGTTGAATAAGAGTGGTACTAGCAGACATCCCTGTCTTGTTCCTGATCTTAAGGAAAATGCTTTTAGTTTTTGCCCATTGAGTATGATGCAGGCTGTGGGTTTGTCTTATATGGCCTTTATTACATTGAGGTATGTTCTCACTATTCCCACTTTACTATGAGTATTTATGATAAATAATCCAAGGGAGGTTTCATTATTCTTAATTTATTACAAATGAGGTGCAAAGAGATTGAATAGCTTTCCCAAGATCACATTGCAAGTAGGTGAAAGTATTTATATTTGAATTTGCATCTCAAAGCCTGCCCTCATTCTAGCAGATCTCAGTTGTCAAGGGTAATGAATCCTCTAAAGTTTATGGGCATGGGAAGCAGGGATTGTGAAGATGCAGCGAAACTTAGAACCTGGCTGCTGTTTGTGTTGCCAATTAGGTAGTTGAACTACTTTTACGAAAGAGGAAAAAGGTAAGACAGAAAAGGATTTAAGGTTTAGCGCACAGTGAGCTGAGGTTATGCAGGATTAGGCTGATGATAATGCCAGAGACAAGTGAACAGGTGTAGGGCAGGTTCTAGAACTGAAGTAGAAACCTGATGGCATAGCCAGTAAGTCAGGCAGAAGCAAAGCCTTGGTGCCAGCATGGCAATAATGAGAGGGATAGTAAGAGTGGGAAGACATCTCATCTGCACTTTTGGTTCTAGAATCCAACAGCTTGTGGAGCTGCATCTGCATTTGTCAAGATGCATTTAAAGGAGGAAGGAGGAAAGTTTATCTTTCATGTTAATAATGTTAAGTTTGTGCAACTAAACAGAACTTGAAATTGGGAAGAAAGTAATGCAATCCTTCCGTACACCCCCAGCACAGTTGTTAGTTCTCAAGAATTAATGTATATAGACAGTTGTAGGAAAGTTATTTTAGATGGTATTATTCTGTGTGTGCATGTGTGTGGGCGTGCATACATATGTGCGGTTTTCTTCAGTATGCACACCTGTACTTGTTTTCTATGGATCTTTGCTTTGCTAGTTACATTTCCCATCTTGACATCTGATTTGTCTGTCATTCACAGCTTTTGGAAAGGTGGCAGAGTTAAATAAGGACTTTTTCCAAGTATATATTTTAGCAGTAGTAGGATGTATGAATTGGGAAGTCTCATAAGATGTTACTACTAACTTATGAAATTTGGCAGGCATGCCTTGTTTTATACTCTAGAATATAATGTAACATAAATGTAGACTATAGTAAAACAAAATGACAGCTAAAGTGACACTTCCTGAACAGAATATTTTGAGACTCACATGTGATAGTTTTATGAATATTCTGAATATGAATATTCAATCATCGCCTGTAAATTCAGATTTCTTATTTTGACACATGATTGATTTTTTTTCTCTAACATTAGTCTTCAAGAAATATTGAAGAATGAAAAAGGGTAACAAGATTAATAATGAACATGTTTTGTCTGGCTTACTTTTATGACACAATTAATTTATCAGAGTCTTGAAGAAATCTGCCTTATAGTCTAAAGTTATGGTTTTGCTAGCAACTTAAAAAAAAAACTTTTATTATTTTTTTTTCAAAATACACTTGGTATATAGTAAGTATACATTATACTATTAATGTCAAATTCTTAGAAATCATGGGAATGAACAAATTTTAAGTGCACAGTTGAGATTTAGGTTATGTTATTAACTATGAATTGTTATAAACTCCTGTGCTGTTTTTGTCATTTTTTTTTTGTTAGTAAGAAGCTGGAATTGTAAACTCTATGAGTTTTCAAGGATAGTGTTTGGTTTGCTACTGCTTTCTCTTTATCACTTAAACACAGGGCTTGACCATCAGAAAATGCTCAATAAATAATTGTTGAATTATAGTTTTTTAAATGAAAAATCCAAATGGTGTAATAACAGGCTAAGGGACTGTCACAACCATGAAGCACTTTGTGAATTGAGCTATCATATTTTTCTTCTGATTTGCATCCTGCTGATTCAAAACAGTAAAACAGTAAGATTCTTTCTGACATGCAGAATGAGGCAAAGAACCAATCAAATCTTGAAATCAGTCAACCACCACGTGGGCATTCCAATGTGTGGAAAGCATTGTGCAAACACTGTTATAAAAGAGAATTGAGCCCTGGCCCTTATAGCAAAGTGGTTAGAGCATCAGCCCACACACCGAAAAATCGTGCCTTGGATTCCAGTCCCAGGCACTTATGTAGGTTGCAGGTCGTCCCGCCCCCATCTGGGCCCCTGCAGTTGGCAACCAATCAATGTGTCTCTCTCACATTGATGTTTCTCTTTCTGTCTCTCCCTCCCTCTCCCCCTCCTTTTCCCTCCCTTCCTCTCTCTTTAAAATGCAATGGAAAAAATATCCTGGGATGAGGGGTAAGGGGAGAGAGAGAGAGAGAGAGAGAGTGTTATTGTGCCAGGCACCTTCCCTCTGAGAGTTTTAAAACTTGACTAATGTCAGTAACTAGATTGTTGGAATTCAAACCGAGTTTTTTCAGACTCAAAAGCTGTACCCTATCTAATACACCATACTCCCTGTAGTATAGTCAGTTCAATCCCTTTCAGCAGAATGACAAGATAATTCACCGATGGTAACAGTTCTTTCAAGTTCCTTAAAAAGATTTATTATCTCAAAATGTATCCCAAGTATGTTCCTATATTCTTTTTCTAAAAATTTTAAAACTCATTTTGGTTCATACTAGTTAGTGTATGTTCCAAATTAACCTATATTCCTAGCCTATAAACCTAATTTCTAATTTAAAAAGAAATTACCATGTAGCTATAAAGAGAATCTTTATTAGTTTTTTTTATTAAATGTAAAGCATAAAAGATACATTCCTTAGGAAATAATGATTGAGTTTGTTTCAATACCTGAATAGTATTTAGGGCTCTTCAGGCTTAATTTTTAAAGACAGAAGGAAATGTTACTGTAGTTAGTGCTAAGAGAACTAAAAAGGACCCTATGCTGAAATACCTAACATCATCATCACAACCAGCAACACTACCACCATTAAAACAACACTTTCAGACCTGAAGTGGTAAATCAATTGTGCAGTGTCAAAGTAAGTTGTTACTAAAAATAGTCTAAGTAGTCATGTTTTCAAATGATTTGCTTTTCCAATTAAAATTATTTTTTAAATTAAATATGATGCAGGTTATACCAGTAATCATATCATTGTCACATATTTGTGTTTTTATGCCTTACTTGGTGAAAAAGAGGCTAAATTACTTATAGAAAGACTTAGAGGTGTATATTTCTATCAGGAAAAAAAAAGGAACAATATAATCCCCCAAAAATCATTTTGGGTTAATTATCAATTGCTGAAAGTATACACAACCAATTTCATCCAAATAAACATTTATATCTACACACACACACACACATACACACACACACACACCAGAAGTCAGTAATCACTGAGAGATGGATCGGTGTCTGAAATACTTCATTTTTTTAGGAAAGCAGGAGAAAATCGTGTTTTTTTTTTAATTTTGGAAAGAAGGAGTTCAAGAAATGATATTACTAGAGTCCTAGAGATTATTTTAGCCATGTCACACTTTTAAGGGCGTAATAATTTAACATGGATTATAGAATAATTTTGAAAGCAAATTAAAAATGAATGTGGACATTGGAGACTGGCAAATAATTATTTGCAATTTGACTTCTTCATTTTTATTGCGGACACCTTATGTTTTATTTTACAGGTTTATAATTGTAAAGGTATTTTGCCAAGTTCTTACCATTGAAAACTGCCTATCTGATACTATCCAGTGTGTATGTACTATAACATAGTTGTCAGTAATATTTAAGAAAATCAGTTATGTTAAGTAATATGGTAACACAAATGGAAATCAAACTTTTTGTGAAATTATTTCATTATTAATGATTTTTATTTACTTATATTCTAGAACACAAATCAATTTCACAGTGGCTATTGATTTTACAGCATCAAATGGTGAGTTTTATGACTACCCTCTAATAAAAATGATCAGCAACTAAGTGAAATATAAAGATTTATTTTCATGATGTTTTGATATTTTATTTCTATATTTTCATACTTCTGAAGTGTTTTATATAAAATTCAGATATTCAGATAAATTTTCCTTTTTTTGACATTATGAATTAGTTCAGGTATAGAGAGGGCTACAAGAAATATAACAAAAGTATGTAATAGTCCTATTCAAATTTATTAAATATCAAAATATGGTCATTTTTGTTTTGCATATTTTTAAAAAGATAATTCCAGATTTAGTTAAGCCCATTATGTACCCCACTCCATTTCTTCTATCCTCCCCCCTTCTCCATACATAATTATAATCCTGAAATTTGTTTATAGTCCTCATTTTTACAGTATTTCCATGAGTATTAATTTATATGAATGTAATTCAAGTGCTTGTACCTTAGTTGACATGCTTTATTTTTACTTGAATATTTAAAAATTATTCATGTTAACACATTTATATTTAATTAATTCAGAAGAGGTGTCATCTAATAGTACATGTGCAGATATTTATAATTTGCATATCAAATATTTTAAAAAAGAAAAGTAGTGGACTTTTAATTTTATTTTGAGGTAACTTTATTTCAAATAGGACAGTTATCTGATGTCAATTATGTATCATTAGAACATGAATCTCATTATTTAACTTTTACCAGAAGTTGTCATCAGTTTATATTTATCTAGGTGTTTTTTTCTAAATTATTTATTGTGCTTATTATGGTCCTCACTTTATATTTCCTTTACCTCACATTTCTTTCACAGTGACTCACATTTCACAAAATAATAGAATTTTTAGGTAAGAAAGCACCTTGGAAATCACTTATTTCAATTGTCCCCTTATACAATGGGGGAAAATGATCCAGAATATCGTTTTAGTAATAAATACATCTTGGCTTATTAATTCTTAAGTTAGAAACTAGGAAACCAAACTATAATTCAGGAACCTAGACTACATATTAAATTTATTCTTCAGCATTATGACTTCAAGGTAATGATTTTTATTCATGTGTTTTATTCAGTAAAATGTGGAACATAGAAGTAAAACCTAAAGCCCCTCTGGTTTAAAATACTAGCTTTTATTCACTGATGAACATTAGCAAGAAGAGCAAGAATCTATTCAATAGAAAGACACAAACTTTTGAAACTGTCTTAAAAAGTAGATAATCTGAACAGACCTTTAATAAAAAATTGAATTTTGTAATAAAATGTTAATACTACCCACAAAGTTTATCTGGACCTAGGTCCAGATAGCTTCACTGGTGAATCCTACCAAACACTTACAGGAGAATTAATAAAAATTCTTCACAAATTCTTCCAAAAAATAGAAGAGGAGGGAACACTTCCCAACTCATTCTATGTGGTCAGTATTACCTTGATACCCAAACCAGACAAAGACATCACAAGAAAAGAAAAACTAAAGATCAATATATTTTATGGAAAATGGATATAAAAATTCTCAATAAAATGTTAGCAAATTGAGTTCAGCAATACATAGAATTATATACTCTGACCAACTAAGATTTTTCACAGGAATGCACTACATTGTCTTAATATTAAAAAATCAAATAAGGCAAGTAGAAAATTATTTAAAAACCACATAGTCATCTCAATTGATGCAGAAAAAGCATTTGACAAAGTCCAACATACTTTCATGATAAAAACACTTAAAAAAATAGGAAAAGAAGTTGCCTTAATAAAGGGACTAAAGGAAAAACTCATAGCTAACATTATACTTAATAGTGAAAAGCTGGATGCTTTCCCCCTAAGATAAGGAAGAGGACAGAATGTCTACTATTACCACTTCTATTCAGCATTGTACTGGAAGTTGTATCCAGAGCAACTAGGCAAGAAAATATATCCAGATTAGAAGTAAAGAAGTTAAACTATTTTTATTTGCAGAAGACATAATCTTGTATATAGAAAATCCTAATTAACCTCTTAAAAATCTATTAGAACCTATAAATGAATTCAGTAAGATTGAAGGATAAAATATCAATATATAAAATAATTTTTTTCCCTATACATTTCCAATGAACAATCAGAAAATGAAATTATGACAACAATTATATTTACAATAGTATCAAAAGGAATCCAATACTTAGGAGTAAATTTAACAAAGTGAGTATAAAACTTATCTCCAAAAAACTATTCAGAAAAAAATTGTTGAAAGATTAAAGGTCTAAATAAGTGTAAAAAACACATTTATTGATTGGAAAAGTCGATGCTGTTAAGATGGTAATATTTCCCAACTTGATCTCCAGATTCAATTTAATCTCTATCAAAATTTGAGGAAATGGGAAACTGACCCAATTGAAAGCAGACTTGAGGGGGGAAAAAAGATTCACAATTCTCAGTTAGCCATAATCTACAAATCAGTTATCAAGTATTGGTGAGCATGTAGAGAAATTGGAATCCTCATACTCTGCAGATGATACTGTAAAATGGTGCAGCCACTTTGGGAAATACTTTGACAGTTTCTCAAGTTATTATAGTTTCCATATGACCCAGCAATTTCACTCGTGGATATAAACACAAGAGAGATGAAACCATGCCTCCATACAAAATCTTGTACACGAATATTTTTAGCAACATAGCCAAAATGTGAAAACAACCCAAATGTCCATGAGCTCACAAATTGGTAGAAAGATGTGGTATGTGGATATGAATACTATTCAGCAATAACAGGAATGAAATATGAAGTGAAACATGCTATAACATAGATGAACCTTGCAATGACTATGGAGTGACAGAAGCTAGTCACAAAAGACCATATCATATGTAACTCAACTTATATGAAATGTCCAGAATTCCCAAATTAATAGAGACAGAAAGATTAGTTATTGTTTAGGGCTGAGATGGATGGACTGACAAGGAAATGATAGTGAATAGCTACAGAACTTCTTTTTTATTTTATTTTTTAAATATAAGCGAAAATTTGTTTAGAAAATCATAGAGGTAGAAGCAGTGAGCCTTAGAGGAAGTAAGTCTTCTGGGCTGCGTAGGCTCAGGAAACAAATCCTGAGGTGATGAAAATGTTCTAAAATTGATTGTAGTGATGGTATATATAAAATCTGTGAATATACTTAAAATTATTGAATTATATAGTTTATAAGGGTGAATTATAAGTTATATGATTTACATCTTGACAAAGCTTTTTTAAAGAGCTTTTAAAAAAATAATCATATCCAAGTAGGGTTATATTTTACAAAAGCATGGTGTATCTCTAAAGCAAAATTAGATGTCAATTTGATAATATTCAGGGTTTAAAATTTTACAAGAGCCCTAAGTAAGAGTTACAGCTAAGGGTAAGAACTATGAAACGCGATTGCCTAGATTCATATTCTAGTTTTACCAAGTATTGTTGTATATTTTAGGGCAAGTTATTTAATCTGAAAATTATGTAATCTAAAACATAGGTATACTAAAAATACCCATACATCATTGAAAAGGAATAAATGAGATATGAAGTAAGGAGTTCAATACATGTTAGAGTCCATGCGATTATAATTACTATTATTATTAATTGGGCTCCAATATTATCAGCCTACTACAAATTCATTCTTCATAGACATTGTTGCAGATTCAGAGGTGGTAGAAACATGGCCTCGGATTCAGGAACTGTCACTCAGTTTGGCAAATTGCTGTACTTTGTGCTGCAGAACACAAGAGCCATGAGCGTAAGAGAGGACTGTAAGTGCCACTAGAAACAAGGAAGACATAAGCTGGAGGAGAAGAAAGCAAATTTCAGGACAGAGTGGTAACTTGAGAGGTCATGATTGGAAGGAAGACACCTTTAGCGGTCCAGTGAAAAGACTGGTCTGGATGAAGTTGCTGGAAAGAGTTAAGCAACATCTTTGAATGGGTAGGAGCAAGCCCAGTTGTGCATGAGGCTAAGTTGTTTAGACAAGCTGGGTATATTAGTGGTATTTTTATTTTAGGATGTGATTTTCTAAGTGAAATTGAATATTGCAACCATTGGGTAACAACTCTTATACTTGAAAATGTGGCTAAATAACCACTTAGTCAAGGAATGGTATTGCTTATCTGTGGCTCCAGTGGGCTTTTGACTAAAGGGCAAAATTCCTACTTTAGAAGAAATTTGTCAAAGAAGGATTGTACCAGACAAATTAAACAGGCTAGGAAGACTCTATTCAGAACTATTACAGTAGGGATCAAAGCTATTACAGTAGAAGAACTGTAACAACTCCTCCAAAACAAAAGAAGGGAAGGAATTTAAGTGCTGTGGTGATCTAGTAGGCAAGTACTGGGGGACATTATAGAGGAGGTAGTTTGTGTGATTTTGTCATCTCTATTTGCTAATTAATATTTCTTAAAGTTAGGCTCCTACTGTCCCACAGAGACTATAGGTGACAGGGATGGTATCTTTCCTTTCTTTGTTCAAATTTAAATTCTTTATTGTTTAAAGTATTAAATATGTCTCCTTTTCTCCCTATTGACCTCTCCCTGGCTGCTACCACCCCCTCCCCGCTCCCCACTCCAGCATTTACCCTCACCCCCTTACTGTCTGTGTCCACTGGTTATGCTTATATGCATGCATACAAGTCCTTTGGTTGATCTCTTACCATCCCCCGCTCCTCCCACCACTGCCTTCCCTCTGAAGTTTGATGGTCTGTTCGATGCTTCTATGTCTCTGGATCTGTTTTTGTTCATCAGTTTATGTTGTTCATTATATTCCACAAATGAGTGAGATCATGTGATATTTCTTTCTTTTTCATGATGATATTTTAAAGGACTGGCTCCCAGGTCCTTGAGAAAGATATTCCTGGGTTGTAGGAGATTGAGGCCTCAGAAGGTGGAGTTTTACAATTGCAAGTTATCTAAAGTAAGTGCTCTGAGTAAAGGGAGCTCGGGCCTGTAGTCAGGAGAAACCTGTCTAAAGTTTAGTCACACTGAGGGGAATTTTAG